TAGTAGTAGTAGTAGTAGTAGTAGTAGTAGTAGTAGTAGTAGTAGTAGTAGTAGTAGTAGTAGTAGTAGTAGTAGTAGTAGTAGTAGTAGTAGTAGTAGTAGTAGTAGTAGTAGTAGTAGTAGTAGTAGTAGTAGTGGTAGTAGTAGTAGTAGTAGTAGTAGTAGTAGTAGTTACCAGGCCCTGAAGGCCCCAAGCCCCAGAGACAACGAGTACATCCACACCCGCACGCCCAAGACAGCTTCTAAAACCCTGAACCCTAAACCCTAAACCCTAAACCCTGAATCCTGAACCCTAAACCCTAAACCCTAAACCCTACACCCTAAACCCGGAAGGCCTCCGTCAGCTTCGCCTGGAGCGCGGAGTACTCGGTGAGCGCAGTCTGGCAAGGCAGATGCTTTTTGGCAAAGCCGAAAATACCTTCCCAAAGCATGCATGCTGATTACTGTGAGAACTCCGGACCAAGTTCCGCAACACATCGGGGGCGGGTAGGTGTCGAAACAGGGGGATCGGGTGGGGGGGGGGGGGGGGGGGGGGCGGGGTCTGTAGAAATGGGCTCGCAGATGCGGTGGATGTTCCAGCGTTGCTGAAGGGAAGTTGCATCACATGTTCTAAACGATTTGGTGGGCCGGTCTCGTATAATCGCATTTGTCTTTCGGATGGATCAGTAACCCCAGCCTGCCGTGGCATTTGAGCTCTGATTCGAGCATTGGAAGCAGGGGCTCCGGGGTCTTTGGAAAAAGGCCCAGGTTTTTGTGCGTCGTTGTGGGGCCTTCATTGTTGCCCTGTAGTAGCCTCCATTGGTCCGTATGGTTGAGAATGAGAACTTAATGGCCAAAGCCCGCCTTGCGGGCTTCACCGGCGTAGTTCTTTGCCTCGGATTCCGGCTTCGGGTTCTCCTAAACCCTAAACCCTAAACCCTGAGCCCTAAACCCTAAACCCTAAACCCTAAACCCTAAACTGGTCCGGGGCTTATGGATCTTGCGCGGGCCTTGGCTTTCTGTTGAGATGTTTTCCCCTTGTCCTAACAGTCCTTCCTGTGTAGGGATTATGAGAAAGGGGGTACTCTGATCCCTATATTAAGGACTGTTAGAATAGGAGGGGAGCATCCCAAGCCTCCTATCCGATCGCCCTCCAGTGCTGAAGACCACACCCTTCAGATCCCGGGCTTCCCGAACGAGGTCCTCAACCCAAGCCTGACATCCTCCCTCAACCCCCCCCTATAACCCCTGAACCCACACGTGTTCAAATCCTAAGCTTAAGTAAGGCCTAAACCCTAAACCCCCAACCCTAAACCCCAAACCCTAAACCCTAAACCCCAAACCCTAAACCCTAAACAGGCAAACAAATCAAGCCTTGCCCATCAACCCAGTGCCCCCTCCGAACTGAGCGAGATTTAGGGTTGAACAGTTAGGGTTTAGGGCTTAGGGCTTAGGGCTTAGGGCTTAGGGCTTAGGGCTTAGGGCTTAGGGCTTAGGGCTTAGGGCTTAGGGTTTAGGGTTTAGGGTTTAGGTGTAGAGTCTAGGGATTAACGCTTCATCTGCACCTCTCCCAAAACGAAAATCTCGAAGTGGGTTCCGGGCGTGAGATTTAGGTGCCCGAGCCCTGCACAACGACAAGGTGCAAAGCGAATTGTGGCTTCTATCCGCGGTTCGTAACTCTGTATCCCAAAAGGAAGCACGGAATTGCCCACCCACGACAAGTATCCCAGCTACTCCAAACTCTGTCCATACTGGCCCTAAACCCTAAACCCTAAACCCTTAACCCTTAACCCTAAGCCCTAAACCCTAAACCCTAACCCTAAACCCTAAACCCTAAACCCTAAACCCTAAACCCCTAAACCCTAAACCCTAGACCCTAGACCCTAAAGCAGATGCTAAGAGCAACCAGGTGGCCCCAGTCAGCTTCTGCGTGATCTCCTTGCGAGCCTGCACTGGTTTTGGGGCTGATGGGGATGAGGGTTTAGGGTTTAGGGTTTAGGGTCTAGGGTGTACTGTAGGGTTTAGGGTTTAGGGTAGTTTCTAGGGACATGGTTTGATGGCTGGCATTCAGGATCAACGTAGCTTCTTCAAGAAACACACCGAAACTGATCAAAAGCCAAGTGGAAGCATGCTAATGATGATGTGCGTGCGCGCGCACACGCGTGCGGTCCGTCTGTCTCTACATCTCTGCCTGTCTGTCTCTCTGCCTCGCTGCCTCTTTGCCTCTCTGCTTCTCTGTCTCTCTGTCTCGCTGTCTCACAGTCTGTCCTTACGTCTCTGTCTGTTTGTCTGCCAGCCCGTCTGCCTCTGTCTGCGTTCGTCCGTGTCCGCTCGTCTGTGCGACCACGCGTCCGTGCGGCGCCCTTGCGCCCATGCGCCCCTGCGCCCATGCGCCCGAGTGCTCGTGCGCCTGTGGGCCCGCGCGTGCCTGCGCGCATCCGTGCGTTCGTGCATTCGTGCGGGCGGGCGTGTGCGTTGGGTGCGTGTGCGTACGGCCACAAAGCACTCGCCTTTCTATGGCACCAAGGAACCGCAGGACTGAACACGGCTGAACGCGCCTCATTAATCTTGGTCTGCGCGTCAGTGGAGGCGGCCTCACGCAGCTCCGGAGATGGACTGGATAGGACCCTGTAGCCCTCAGCACAATAGCATACACCCTGAATCCCCCCCCTACGAACCTCAACCCCCCGCAACAGAACCCATGTCCCACTAAATCCAATGTAAACCCACGCCGAAACCCTGCAGATCAATCCATCAGGACATCCGACTACAATAGGCGCGATATATCGTGCCAGGCACCAGAGCTTGCCTGTGGGCTTCGAGGGTCACACTTTGCCTTTGGTGTCGGTGGTAAACCAGCACCAAAGCCAACAGCTGACAGCAAAAACACGGCAGTTGAAAAAAAGGATCCGAGCCATGTGCTGCGAGGCACGCCTAGTTCAGAGCCCAACCGCACACAACCCTTGACCCGATCCCGCCCACGCCTCCACCTCATCCAGGGCCTTCTTCAGGTCATCACCTCGGGCTTTACTTGAAGGTTCAGAGGTGTTCAATAGTTAGGTGGAAGCCAAAACGGGAGGCTAAGGGCTAACGAGCAATGGTAAGGGAGGGGCCTTTTAGGGGTCCATTACTTTCGTAAACTCCCAAAAAAGGAAGCCCGAGAAGTTTGAAGTTCACCAATTGGCTAAGAAAGCGAAACCCCAAACGGATGAACCCCAAACCCTAAACCCTAAAGCCCAAACCCTTAACCCTAAACCCTAAACCCTAAACCCTAAACCCTAAACCCTAAACCCTAAACCCTAAACCCTAAACCCTAAGCGGAACTGGGCTCCCCAGCTGCCCTCGGCCGGAGGATTGGAGATGATAGGCTCGGCCATTGTCACAATGGCAACGACAGACTCCTCTTGAGGATTTGAGGGGGGAGACTTTGGGGAGTTTAGGGTTTAGGGTTTAGGGTTCAGGGTTTAGGGTTTAGGGTTTAGGGTTCAGGGTTCAGGGTTTAGGGTTTAGGGTTTAGGGTTTAGGGTTTAGCGTTTAGGGTAAGCCGACATCAAGCCATGACGACGCAAAGGCGCCTCGGCGACAGAGGTGAGGTCCTTGATGGCCGGGAAGGCCTCCTGGAAGTCCTTCTTAGAGTTTAGGGTTTACGATTTAGGGTTTAGGGTTGGAGAAGGAGGACCCCCAAATAGAAAAGAGCCTATGATACCCTTATGAGGAAGAATAGGTTTGTTGTTTGTTTTTTTTTTTGGGGGGGGGGGTTCTTAAACTAGGAGAACGATACGCGAAACCCTAAACCCTAAACCCTAAACCCTAAACCCTAAACCCTAAACCCTAAACCCTAAACCCTAAACCCTAAACCCTAAACCCTAAACCCTAAACTGCCCAACTTCAAGCAGACCATCTATGGGCCAATTGCGGGACCATCTGTGGGACTCAGGACATCTCGGACTTGGAAATCATCTGAGTTGTGCGTTAAACCCTCTGCAAATTATTTATGAATAGGTTTCCTTATAAGGGAAGTATAAGGGAAGAATGGGAATGAACAATTATCCCAGAAGCACAACCCAGTGATTCTGGCTGTGCCAAGCCAATGGCTCACCTTCCACAATCCGATCCTGTTTGCCTACAAGCCCAAGGTTTCCTTTTTTGCAAGTTTCCCATGTTGCATGAGGATCTTCAAAGAAACCCTAACCCCTGAACCTTGAAAACCGCGAGGTTTCGACAGCAAAGCCCCTTCGACTGTCCTTGGAGTCCTTCTCCTCCTTCTCCTGCCGGCTGAGCTCTGGGATTTCGGGATTGGGGCTTCCGCTTGGGATCTTCGGGCTCTGTCAGGAGTTAACCTTCTATTTGTAATCGGATTATATATATATATAGCAAAAAAAAGGTAAAAGGGTAACTACCCAGTGCTAAACCCTAAACCCTGAACCCTAAACCCGAAACCCTAAACCCCAAACCCCAAACCCCAAACCCTAAACCCTAAACCCTAAACCCTAAACCCTGACGTCTCTCCGGGCCGCGCCTTCCCTCCTGCCTGGCCCAACTTGGCGAGGGCGGCGCGGGCCTTGTTCAGCTGCTCCACGACACCGGCCTCGACTTTCTACGATTTGCTTAAGAAACCCCCCCCAACAAAAAAGAACAAAATGTATAAAAAACCTGCATTACCCTCATAAGCAAGAATTTTCTGATTTTTGAGGGGCTTCTTAAGCTATTCGTAGCTTGAGGGCACAGAGTTCAATAGGTTGCGTAGGCTTTGGGCTTTGGGGATTGTGGGGGTGGGAGGTTGGGGGTCTAGCACTTTTCGGGGCGTTCCGGTTTCCGAGGTTGATGGGCTTGGGGCTCATCGACGGCGACAGAGGTGTCGTGAGGATTGCTGTTCTGGGTTTCGAGCTTCGGAAGTGAGGGACGAGCGCCTAGGAAGGAGGCAAAGGGCCTAGTAGACGGCCTACACCCTGATTTGCTTTGGGGGCTCAAACCCTAAACCCTAAACCCTAAGCTGAGCCCTCCCTAAACCCCTAACCCCT